CTCTGGGCTATCACTTAGATAGTAGGGAAATGTTAGGACAGTACTAAGTATGTTATGTGCAGGAAGATGCAACCCTAGTGCAAATTTCTGAGCATCTGACGGTCTCCAGCCTAGAAAAGATGATCTGGCAAGTGAAGAGGAGGCTGAAAATGGAACAAAGAGGAAGTCAGCAGCCTTGATAGGGTAAAGGGCTTGAGGATGAAATGTCAAGTGGTACCCATCATTACTGAGAATCCAGTATCACCTGTTGTGATGTCAGGCACAGAGAAGGGCTAAGGGCATAGATGTTGAATTCTCTGTCTCTCCTACTCATGTTTGCTCAGATCAGAGTTAGAAGCATAATGCATGCGTCCAGAATGCACACTTGCTGCTCCTTTCTTATACAAACTCATTTGTCAGCAAAGCTTCAGGTTTCACCAGAGTTTGGAATAGTGACATCATAGGCTGCTTTTTCTGAAATAAAGCTATGGGAATTAATTTCATGTTAACTTTGACTTTAGAGAAAGAGAAGGTTACAAAATCAGAATAAAGACTCATGAACTAAAATGATATCTAGATGAAAACCGTGTAGATTTTATAAGCATTTTTCTATGATTATCAACTCTCGTTAAAATCTCTCGGGCTAGCTTTTGACATGTTGCCAAAGTGCTGATAATATGGTCTGCAATTCCAAATGGCTGAGTGTTAGCTGCCATGTAGGTACTGGGAACCAAATCTGGGTCCTCTCCAAGAGCAGCCAGTACTTTTAACCACTGAGCCATCCCTTCAGCCCCTTGGCTAGCTTTCTTATACCACCTGCCCAGGGAACAGTTGCCCACAATGGGCTGGATTCTCTATATCAATTAATAATCAAGACAATCCCCCACAGACATGTCCACAGGCAAATCTGATCTGAATAATCCCTCAGTCAAGACACCCTTCTCACATGACTCTAAGCTGTGTCAAGTTGACAAAGCTAACTAGGACACTCTACCCATTATTGACCTGACACACAAGCACATCACTTTAATCCATAATGATTCATTCCTGGTCCCCAAGATCTCATGTTAATATCATAATATAAATCACAGTCCAACTTTTAGAAGTCCTGCAGTCTTTAAAAATGCCAATGTTCTAAAACTCCAAGGCCTTTTTAAAAATCCAGAGTCTCTTAACTGTGGGTTCCTATAAAATAAAAAAGAAGTTTCATATTTCCTGTTCCAAAATGGAATAACTGGGTTATTAAAACAATCAGATCAAAGCAAAACCAAAGTCTAGCAGTGGAAAATCCAAATCCTATAGCTCCACGTCCAACATTTAGGAATCACTCATTGTGTAGGTTTCTGACTCCAAAATGGCCTTAGCAGTTCCACCTTAGCTCTGCCATCTGCAACACAGAAGCTTGTCTTATAGGTTTAGGCAGCTCCACTTCATACCTACAGTTGTCCTTGGTGAATGTCCCACTGGCATCTCCAATATCCTGGTATTTCCACTATACCTTCACCAATGGCTTCTCTCTTCCCTCCACAGGGACTTCAACCTTCTTGCATTGTGCCAAGCCTCAGCTGCTCTTTAGGACCTCTTTTTTTCCCTTTTCATTGAATTTTCCCAAATTTCATACCAGTGTATTTTGATCATATGTAGATCCCCTCCCCTATCTGCACCCATCACTGAAGCTTGGTTAACCTATCCAATTCACACCCTTAAAGGAAACTGGCTAGCAGTTATCAATAGTTCCTCAGCTAGGGTTGAGGTTTCTTACATACTTTCCCACTTCTGTACTGGGATCTTGTCTTGCTTAAGCTTACATGGGTCTTGTGAATGCTGTCACCATTGTTGTGAGTTCATGAGTAACTGACCAGCTGTCTGGAAAACTCTGTTTCCTTGTGATCATACACAACTCTGGCTCTTTCCATCCCCTCTTCTACAATGATCCCTGAGCTTGGGTGGCAGAGGTTTGGTATCAGTGTCTTATTCAAGGATAAACATTCTGTAGTCTCTTATTTTCTTCATGTCAGCCGGTTGTGGGTCTATTGTTAATCACAGTCTGCTGAATAGGAAAGCTTCTCTGGTAAGAGATGAGAGATGCATTAATCTGTGGTTATAATAATAAGCCATTAGGAGCCAGTTTAATACTATATCTATTAATACTATGTTTATTTAGCAGAAACATAGTATTAGAATCTCCCATATGTCCTGTGACCTGTCTAGCCATAGGTTCCTAAGCTTGATATCATTGTCAGGAATGGGCTCCATCTTCTGAAGCAGGCCTTAAATCCAACCACAAGGTGGTTGTTTACTCCAATAACATATGTGCCACTATTGCACCAGTTGGCATATCTTGCCAGGCCAGTTCTTGTAGCTTATATGATTCACACTTGGGAAAGGTTGATGATTACTTTTCTCTTCCAGTTAGCATGCGTAGCACCTTCCAGCACTATGAAAGCTAGCAAATAGAGATGAAGCCTTGAAGTCCACAGTAGCTAGATTTCTCTTTGTTTGTTCTATAGATTATATATATACTGTCTTCAGCAATAGAGTCTTACCATGAAGTTCTGGTGGATAACTAAAACAAATGACTATGTTTAACATTGTCTGAGGGTCTATGGGACCCCTGGTCATCAGCTTCGAAAGATGGAGGTCCATTCTTAGCAGTGGGCTTTTGCTAACCTGCTGTGTCCAGTGGGGGCAATATCCTTCTTTTATAGGGCAGCTCCTTTAAATCTTTTTAATAAAAATGTATTCCTTTTTATATTGTATACATATATACTTTAAGAAACTTCTATAGTGGTAGGTTTCCGTATGGTTTTCTTCAAAAGACCATTGGTGTTAGTTATCAATCCCCACCCTCCTTCCCATGCTCTGCCCTCCCATTCCACACCCCTTTATTCCTTCCTATGCCATTATTCTCCTTCCCCCTTTATATCACTGCATTCTAACTCCTCTCCCATGAAGCCTCCCTCCAATTCCATGTCCATGTACTAGTTTCCTAGTGTTAGTATTTAGACTATACAAAGAATTAGAAAGATTAAACATTAAAAAACAAATTCCTTAATTAAAATTGGGTCAAGGAATGCAAATGCATGAAAATATTTCTTTAAATGTTTGCCATCTTTAGCCATTAGGGAACTACAAATTAAAACCACTTTGAAGATTCATCTTACCTTAGCAAGAATGTTTGTAATCCAAAAAACAAACAACAGATGCTGGTGAGGATGTGGGGAAAGGGAAACTTTTATTCAACACTGGTGCAGCCACCATGGAAATCAGTGTGGAAATTCCTCGAAAAGCTAGAAATAGATCTACTACATGATATAGCCATTACCACTCTTGGGCACATACCCAAAGGACTCTATATCCTACTAGAAATACCTGTTTATCCATGTTAATTGCTGTTCTATTCACAATAGTCAGGAAATGGAGATAACCTAGGTGTCCACCAACTGATGAATGGATAATGAAAGTATGGTACATTTATACAATGGAATATTAGCCAGCTGTTAATAAAAATGAAATTGGCAGGTAAATGGAGGGAACTGGAGACAATCATCCTAAGTGAGGTAACTCAAATTGAGAAAGACAAATGTTACATATTCTGTCTCATAAGTGGATGCTAGGTTTGACTCTTTAAATATGCATGTTTCAATTGGAAAATCTTCATGACCTCTTAGTACTTCAAAGCTACTATCACCTGGGCCGGTCTAAAATAATGTTTGCCAAGTTATGCTTGGCTTAAGCCTTGTCCCCTTGAACCACAGCTTCTGAAAGCTCACCCTGAAGAAATGCTTTCCTGTTGTCCTAACGAAGCACAGATTTCACCTCATGATACTGATCTCTTATTAAGTACAACTGATTCTTCAGCCCCAACTGATCAGCACACACAGATTCTGCTCCAAAACATCACACAAATAACCCTTAGCCCAGTTCTGAGGGTTTTCACTCTCCTCTGAAACCTTATAAGCCAGGCCTCCATTGGTGGATTTTATCTCAGCATTCTTATATTTCAAGCTCCCACTACTGCAGCCCACTGAGCTCTACCCATAGCATTCAACGACTTTTCCAGATCAAAGTTCCAAATGCCTCCACAATCCTCCAACAAAATAGTCCAAGGAATAAAAGCCACATGAACAGATCCATCACAGCTTACTCTCATATGTATTCTTTTCTAGTTTCTCTTCTGCTGCTGTAATAAAATACCATGACTGAAAGCAATGTAGGGGAGAAAAAGGTTTATTTCTCCTTACAGGTTATAGTCTATCAATGAGGAAAATCAGGGTAGGAATTTGAAGCTGAACTCATGGAGGATGCTGCTTGCTGGCTCACTCCTGGGCTCATGGTTTTCTGGCTTTCTTATACAGCCTAGGGCCACTTGCCTAGGGAACGGTGCCACCCCACAGTAAGCTGGACATTCCTACATCAAGTTATAATCAATTACATCCCCCACAGATGTGCCCATAGGCTATTCTGATCTGGGTATCCCTAAGTTGAGGCTCCCTTCTCAGATGACTCTAAATACTGGACTTTTAGTATGATAGGAACGTACTGGATGATTCTTGTAGAGGACAGTGCTTCCTGTTTGATCTTCCATATTTAAATAAATGCCTAAATGATATATTAGCACTTTAAGCACATGTAATTCCTTTGTGGTGAGGGGGTACTTATGAGTAGCACGTAATTGAGGACTTTTTGATGTAGTTTTATCAGAGTGTTGGCAAAATGCTTCCCTCTCTTATACCTTCCAAGAGACCAATTCCTCAGTTATTGAAAATTAAATTTCCTTTAATTTTAGTCCTTACAGTTAAATGTTAAAATCAAAATATTTAAGGCATAACAAATTATTTGCCATATCTTACCTATTTAATGAGTGTGATTATTATGAGATTTATTTTTCTTTTACATTTCTTCCTTGTCTAAGTCAAGGATCCTGGTGGGAGTGGGGCATGCTCCTCTGTGTGGGGAATGTCGCTGTTTTTCTCTGCTTGGGATACAAGCTAAGTTAACCTCGTTGGACTCTCCCCCAGGAATTGATGCGCATACACGTGGTGGGTCATTATGCTGCTGCACCTGTGTAGTGTGAAGGTCAGTGTGCTTTTCTGATTATAAGAAACCATCCATGTCATTCCATTATAACCCCTTCCACTCATAATGGAATGTGCCTGAGCCCAGAACCTGTTGAAGTCGCCCAGCCCAGAATTTCCTCAAGCACGATCTCAACATTGGAGATCTACCACCCACCCCTCCCATGACCTGCATCCTCCAAGAACCCAGTCGTGCTCCATTTTGAGATGATGTTCTTTGCATGTCAAGTCCCTCTTGTATGATTTATATGTACCATTCTCATAAGTGAATTTGTACGTGGAATCAAATGCCCTATGATAATTTTTTCTAAACCACATCCAAGAGCTTCCCTGGGCCATGCATAATAATATAACAGTTATTATGGACACGTGGATATATGCCTTGAGATAAAAAAAGTTTTTTTCCTTCACTCAAAGTCATGGCCTCTGGGATGGTCAATAGAATGGGCTTCTTGCTTTTTTCTGAGTGGCTTTCCTTAGAAGATGCTTTTAATTAACTTCTCTCAGAATTTCTGTCAAATTCCTTCTTTTCCTGTGTCATTTACTTGTGGTGATAGCCCTGGTTTTCAAGAAGCATAGCTCGCATTTGCCCATCATTGTGTCTGTTTGTATTGCATGTTTCCCCTGTGAGCTCATTTCCTAAGAGGTAGGTGTGATTACTGCTCCTGTTTTATATGAGAAGGAACTGGGCTACTCAGGCTGGGGTGGCCTTTCCAAAATCTCTTTGTATTAGGTCACATATAAGGCAATTCCCAAAATTAGAACCAACAATCATAACTCCATTTGCTTTGGGACATTCTAATAATACTTGTTAGTACAAAAATTCATTTAGTACGGGATTCTAAGTTATTGGTTAAGGAGAGAACAAATCCCTATTATTGAAAAGAAAATTAACATTTTTACTTGTCATTCCAAGAGTGGCCCAAGAGTTATTCCTTGATGGCTGTCTGTAGTAACTTTAGTGAGAGCTTTTACCAGGGTACCTTGGGTAGTGTCAGTCTTCAAGGGAAGATGTTATTGAAGCTCAAGGCCCATCCTCTCTTTGGAGGATGCTTCGTTGCCCCTTACAGTAGTTTCCCTCTTTGCAGAGGGGTCTTAGCCCTGTTTCTTGGAATCAAACTGAGGGAATTTCTTCTCCAGAACTCTGGTTTCTCCCACGTGTGGTCAGTAATGCCCTTAGAATACCCTTTTGCCAGTTTTGCATTTCATTGGGATAACAGGTTATCATCTGCCTAGAAAAATATTCCCAAGGTTAAACCTATCACTGGGCTTTTATTTTTCCTGTATTCATTTCCCCTGAGCCTTTTGGACTGTAATTATTTTATTTATTTTATGGAAAAGGCAAATCTAAAATTTAATAACCTTTAATTATAGTGAACTTAATAGTATATGTACCATTTTAAGTTTTCTCTTTCATAGATCTTTTTGTGATGTACTCATCTGAGGCATGTGTAAGTTTTTTGGCTTTGTCCTCATTTCTTTCTAGTTCTATTTTCAAACAATCTTTACCTTTTTTTTTTTTTTTTTTTTTTTTTTTTGGCCTTTTTGAGACAGGGTCTCCCTATAGCCCCAGCTGTCCTGGAACTCACTATGTAGACCAGGCTGGCAATCTTTACTTTTGAACAAAGTTATCCCACAAACTTTTCTCATCTAAAAGCATTTCCTTTTCCTCTGTAACCTCCTTTACTCAAACTATATTTCATATTAACAATTTTTCATGCCTTGTAAAAAAATTTTATTTTATTTAATGTATATTAGTGATGCCTTCATGTATGTAAGTGTACCCATGTCATGCAATGCCCACAGAGACCAGAAGAGGGCATTGAATCCCCTGGAACTGGAGTTATGGACAGTTGTTAGCTGCCATGTGGGTGCTAGGATTTGAACCTGAGTCTTCTACAAAAATAGGCAGGGCTCTTAACCACTGAACCATCTCTCATGTCCCTTCCATGCTTTTTAAAAATTTGATGGTTTCTTTCTGTTTTATTTGCCTTCAGAAATCATTTATTTTTTAATTAAATAACTATATTCTAATGAAACCCAGATAAAATGTACTAGCAGTCCCTAAGAAATCTCTATTTCTTTCTTTTTTTCAAAACAAAAGCAGGATAAAAGTCCAGCATTTCTGCCTGTGCTTTGCGTCTCTTTCTTTTGGGTTGCGTGCATACCTCTCTCCATAGGCATGCCAAAGCACAAAGGTGAGTGAGTGTCCCAGGCCTTGGATTCCAGCAACAGCACAGCCTAGGCAGAACCAACCCCCAGACAAGGGCAGTTACCGATGTGGGGGAGGCTGCACTCAGGAGCAGAAGAGAGAACCAGTCTATCCCTTCAAACAGTAGGAATTTCTTAGACAATCTGGAGGAACCTGAATTGAGACATCAACCCTGACCAAGACTCCCAATTGCATGTACGCCTGATCCTCTGGGTTTTTGTTTGGTTTTGCTTTGCTTTCCTATTTCAATTTCAAACTCATTTAGCTCCTTGGAGATGCACTTGAGCCATCAGACCACTCTGCTTCCCTCCACATGGCTGTGTTGACTAAACCTCCTCTCTCTGTCACTCACCATTACTGCCTCTTTGATTGGCATATTGTGACTCACAGCTTAACCTGTGGGGTCTGTCAAAGCCAGAACTTTTTTGCCCCAAAGTCCCACTATGAACTAATAGGAATTTTGGCTAACTTAACAATTTTAATTTATGTAACCTCTCATAAGGCAATTCGGTACCATATAAACAATCTCGTTTAGACTATATAAAAAAAAACAAAGATTTTGTAACTCTTATTTATCACTTTCCAGGTTTAAGTTAGGGTTTTTTTGTTGTTGTTTTGTTTTTTTGAGACAGGCTCTTCCTGTAGTCCCATACTCACTATGTAGGCCAGGCTGGCTACAGTCTCAGAGACCTGCCTGTCTCTGCCTCTGGAGTGCTGGATTAAAGGAGTGCACCACCACGCACTGCTTTAAATTAGACTCTTGATACTATTATTTCCTCTACAGCATTAAGCAATACTTAATTCAAAACCTGCACTTCCAAGGACATGACCCTTAATTGAAACAAAGTAGAAAACTTAGGTCTCAAAGTCACAGATCCTAAACTACTCAGTGATAAGTCTCAATTAGACACCTAACAGAAGCAAAAACATTGAAGTATGAAGCCAGTTAAGCAGACTTCAGGTCATATTTTTCCTTATTTAAGAGAAAAGCTGTAGAGATAACCTCAATTTTCTAAAGGCCTCAAATAGCCTGTTGAGAAATAGGGTAAAATTTTCTTCCTTTCTTTGAGTAACCTCATTGATCCTATTCTAGTTAACAAGGCAGTTTCCCATCCCTGTATGGAGGCTCTCTACCATCACCCTACATCTATGATTCCTTGCTGGGATATTGTGATACTAAACAATGGGTTCCTGATCTGGGACAGTCAGTGTTCTGAACAGATGGTAATGGGATTTGAGCTACTAATCTATCTGTATTTCTTCCAGCATCCTTCCAGGTCCTCTGTTTCTCTTCACAGAAACAAGTAGGACCAAGTATATACAGCTCCTTCCATCGTTCGGCCAAGCCTCCCATTAACAAGCTTATATGGAGGCCACATGTTTCAAAGTAAACTATTAGCCTTTTTACCCCTTTAGGATCAAACTTATTCCAATACTTGAGTTGTACTGTAACATAAAGTCCAAGGGAACTGAACTTCTAAGGGGAAGGGCAAGAAATGAAGGGACTCTGCAGTGGGGGAAGACATCCCTCTCATCCATGCAGAGTCCTCAAGAATACCTGCTGTTAAGAGCATCCCCCAATCTGTCACACTCAGGAACCTCTGTTGAACTGAATATAACTTCCAGAAGGACTAGAACACTGCTTTGAGGCCCCAGTCCTCTGGGTTTACTTATCCTCAGCTGGGGTTTGAACTAATCACTTGTCTGTCCGGACATCAAGTCCTGAAATACTGAGATACAAATCCCTGCTACAAGCATTTCTGAATCTGTTTATTTTACTTTGGAAGAACAAAGCCTCTTTCCGAAAAGGTACTAAAAAGGCCTAAAGTGCTAGGTTTGCTAGAAAAGAGGCCTGACTGCACAAACAGTTCTGGCCTTTTCCCAGAATGCCATCCAGGTTAAAATACAAATGAGCAGGGTTTTGTTTTTGCTTTCCTTGTTTGCTTTGTGTTTAGGGGAGAATGCATCCATACCACCAGAGCTAGTATAATCTACAGTAAAAGAGCAGGAAGGACATGACCAAGCAGAAGAAAACAAAGCCCAGGAACAAAACAGTACTCAGGAAGGGCCAAGCAAAGGTATGGAGGAGTGCAGAGGAGAAGGACGAAAAGGTCAAGAATAGGTCATGTGAGCAAAGCTCAGGCAGTGCAGAAAAGTCTGCAAAGGCATCAGAGTTCAGAGGAGCAATGGCTGGATCTCAATGTCCTCGACCTGGGGATCTCAATGTCCTCGACCTGGGGCTACTGCACCATCACTGCCACTCAGAGTCGGCAGACCACCCACATGCCTGCGTCTCCTGCCACACCACCAGGGAGTTGCCACACAGACCTTCAGTGTATGACCAAAATGGGCACCCAGATATTCTCCTCCCCACTCCTATGTCTGAGCCCACTATCCCCAGGCCTGAAACTTCAGTTCCTGTAGGCCTCGGGGAAAGTGAAAGGAAGAGGCAAAGGATGGACCCACTAGAGAAGAGAGAGAGAAAAGCCTTCTGGGCTCCACTGAAGTTATGAGTCCTTCTGGGAGAGCTGCCATGGAACATAGGTGATGCATGATTTTAAAGTATGCCACGATACATGGACATTTTCTTTTGTCTGTCTAGGAATAATTTCTAACCTCAGCTCATGACCACAGTGTGTTGCCATGGGAGTCTTCAAGCAGAGGGTACCATTATGGCTCTTAAATTGTCCACACATGCCTACAAGCTGCTGTTAGACACCCCAGGAGCAAGTGGAATGTTTAAGAGCTAGAAACATAACTCACCTCCCAACTGTCTCACTAACTGATAA